ATATACATATATTTAGATATATATTTTTACCATATAATCAATTAAATGAATTATTTTATGTGGAATTTGTAGAAAATAGGATAGAAAATAGTAAAAATACAGGCGAAAGTTGATTTTAAATCATATTTGCAAAGGTAAATTATATTTATGTATACATATAAAACCTAATCAAAATGCATTCTTATATGTAGTTCAATTGACATTTTGATGATAAATTCGCCAAGCAATTTGCAAGCTAAGAATTTCAATGTGCAAAACCAACAACAAATTTGATTACTAATTCTTGTAGCCTTGATTAGGATTGTCTGTGCATGGGCATACCCTACATCTGACGAATAAACACTCAAAGCAATCTGGGTGTAAGTGTATTTAAGCTTCGTCAACTCAGAGATAGGAATGTGTATGTATGTATGAGTGTGTGTGTGTGCTGTTGTTGTTGTTGTTTCTAATTTATTTCCGATAGTGGAAAACATTGACGATCTGCCTGACTCGCAGTCGGTGGGGCCTGCGTTGTTTCAGTTTATTTAATTTTTTATTTTTATTTTTGCGGCGTCTTCACGTCACAGACACACACAGGCACACCTACACATGGAGCGAGATACAGATACAGTCCGAGTCGGCAGCGCGGGCCGCAGTCAGCAGTCAGCTGTGTGCGGGCTCTTTGCTCTAGGCGGTGAAAAAAAGTGTCGCGCTGTCCAGATACAGAGACTCTCGAACTGGGACCGCAATCGCAGTCGCAGTCGTACAGCAACAGCAGCGGCAGTAGAGGCAGCAGAGGCAGCGACGTCAACTGCGTCGCTGGCAGCGCAGTCGGCGGCAAGTTAACGTTAACGTTAACTCAAGCACTTGGCAGCTAACTTGGCTGTAATTGCTGCTCCGCTACGTAGCTCTTTTTAATTGTTGTAAAAAAACGCGCGCGTTCGGACTCAGCTTAAAAATAATAAAAACAAAAATTCTAGAGAAAAAAAAAAAATAAAGCAACGAAATGACAAATCAGCCGCGAGTTGTTTTTCGACACACAGAAACATTTGTTGACAGAGGTCATGAAGTATTCGTGAATTTGTTTTGTTGTGCGCCCATATGAAAAACAGTTATGCAAATTAATTAATAGAAACGGCGCCAAAAATTTCAAATTGAAAGTCTACAGAATTTGCTTATAATTTGTGTCTCAATCAAATTAAACAAAATGTAAGCAGAGTCGTCAACAAAATCTCTCAATAAATTACTCAATATATATCTGTTTATAAGTGTACATACATAGCTATATAGATAGATACAGATATACATATATAACGAGCCGCATATAGTAATTCCATAGATATTTGCAATCGCTTCCTACTTTTCCATTTCGCGTGTTGCGCTTTTGTCTTTGCTCTGTATTCTATAGATTATTTGTTTTGTTTTCATTTCTTTATTATTTTTATAAATAATGCCATAGAAAATTGTTTCTGTGCTTTTACAATGCTGAGAATGCGCTCCTCAATTACATAAAAAGCGTCTGATTGAAATGGAATTGTCTATTGAACAAAAGTGCTAAGAATAAAAACCTATATATGAATCGAGAAATTCATTTCTCATATCTCACAATTGAACGTACAAGAAATACAAATGTCAGGCAAATTTTGATTACAAACCCAATATGAATGACAGTTGTTATCAAGTGAAAGATCAAAGATAGAGTGAACCATAAGTCTCAAGCAAATCAAATATATTTACTTTACTTGTTTTTAAAAATAAAAGTGCTCTAGTTGAGGCTAAACTCGACGAGGAGATGCCCTGTAAAGAGTTGACACTTCGATAATGACAGTTAATGCAGTAAATTTAAAATCTTTAGCTCGTAAGGTATTCAAGTTATGTTTCAAAATTGAGTGCAATTAACGATTTTTATTTATACTAATTGAAAAATGGATTGTGTTATCGATAACAATGGTAATATTCCAATTATGCTTACAAATTGAGTGAAATTATAGATTTTTATTTAAATTAATTGAAAAAAAAAATAATTGAAATATATCGATAACAATGGTAAATGCATAGAATAGACAAGAATACGTTGAATGTGTGGAATGTGTTATCGATAACAATGGCCAATGCATAGAATAGACAAGAATACATTTAAAATTTCAAGTCTTTAGCCTTTGGATCTACCCTAGTTCAACTCATTTCGCCAGCCTAATCAGCAATATGGGGTCTACCACGCCTCTTTCTGCCTGTCACATACCTTTCAACAAAATCAGCATGTCCTAATTTTCCCTTTTGCTGCCTGCATTAAAACTGCATTTAATTTATAAAAAAAGTATATTTATAAATATATTTATTTATATATCAGGCATTAATGGATGTTTGTTAATTACATTGATTCCCCACGACTTGAGCCCATTCTAATACAGTTATAATTTACTCTTTATGCAAGCGTTGAAAACTTGAAATTTTCCACTTGATTTATTCATTAATTGCGCCCTTAACGCTTGCAATTGTATAAAAAAAAATTAATATGTACATATATACAAATTAATAAAAGAAAATTACATTGCAAACAGCGCAGCTGCATATTAAGAACTGAGGCCTACAACACTTATAATTGCAAGTCGCTTAATGAGCGACAACTTAACGACTTTTATGAGCTGCAATCAAGTGTTAAGCTGCATACAATTGAGTCTAATTGGATCTGCCTGGAGATGTTCCTCTCCCCTTGATCTAGATAACAATTGGCGACAAGTTGTGTGAGCCACAAAATAAAAATGTTGCTCAAATCGTTTAATCAGTAATAAACACACACTTATGCATATATCCCTATATATGAATATGAGTGTAAGTTAATGAGTTGCTTTTATTTTTATCGAATTTAGATTTATATCTTTATTAACTCAGCAGTTTATATGTGCATGAGCTTTATTTATGGCAAGGCATTTAGTCTTATCATATTGGAATTTATACTTTTGATCAAGCTTAGCAAGATTTACTACATTAACAGTTAACTTTGTAAGCGGATATATAACCGAATACCCAAGCTGAATAGCTGCCATAGCTCACACAACCTCTGAATCGACATTGAATTATTTGCTGACATAAGTCAAGTACGAGTCTTACATAGCACCTACATATCAGATCCTAAGCTGGGCGCAATCTATAATCGAATTGCGCCAGCTTCGGCGATCTTGGCATGTAGCTAACAATTGTTAACTCAAACAGAAGAGCACTTTTTATGGCATTGCAGGCAGTAGGAAACGGCAGGTAAATGAAACAGAGCAAGGCACGAGCACGAGTAACACTTCCATACACTTTTACAGCCCGAACGAAATCAACTTGGCACCTTAATAAAAGCAGCGCCATATGGATAGAGAGATACCGATACCAAGATCGAGACCGAGCCGCGACTCACAAGTCAGATACATCATTTAGAAACGTTTATTGCTAAGATAAATTCAGCAAGGAGTTTAATAGCCACTATCAATATTTGTACAACAAATAAGCGACGAGCGCGACCGAGCTCAATGCGAGGCGGCGTAAAATGTCGCAGCCATAAGATAGAGACGAAATCGTAGCAGCAACAGCAGCAGCAGCAGCAGCAGCAACAACAGATGCGTAAGGCGAATTAACACAAACGCGTTAATACAATTAGTTTAAAAGTGAAAAATCTCGTATACAATATATATATTTATATATACACATATATATGCATGATTCGATGAGGCGAAAAAAAAAACTGTTAACTAAATAATAAAATTGAAAAAAAGAAAAAAACAAAATATATACGCAGCGAGGCTGTCGACAAAAAGCGCCACAACAAATTTGCAACTTTACACTCGTCGTCGGTTTTCAGTCGCGAAATGAAGCCACAGCCTCAGAGCTGAACCACAGAGCGCGTGTGCCCACACATACAAAACAGAAATATAAAACGAAATATTACAATAAGAGCATCAAGTGAATATAGCTGAAACATGGTCGAGTTACTCAAGGCGCTCAATTTGACGGGCAATCTGCTGGCGGGCCTGGAAGACAACAGCCTCGAGAATGTATCGAATCCAATTGCACTGATCGCTGCCGCAGATCCAAGCATCAATGGGACGGCCTTGAATGTAACCACCACCACAACGACGACCACCACGCTGTCCAATGCCACTGCCAGCAGCAGCGGCGAGAAACTCCAATTGGATGGCTTCGATCTGCCGGGCAACTATTCCATATTGATCAATAAGCTGGAGCAGCTGGCGCTGGGCCTGGACTCGGCGCTGGGCAACTTCACCATCGATCGCCAGGAGGTGGAGATCAACTTGAGCGGTGCCTCGGCCAACGATGTGGCCGACGTGGCCGACGACTTGATCTTCAGCGATGTCCTGCCCGCTGCACGGCCGCCAACGACGCACATTGCGCACGGCTCGCGGATCTACACTGGCGAAGAGGAGGATTTCGCCCATGTGGTGAGCGACATTTGGATTGGAGTCATCCTGACGCTGCTCATTGTGTTTGTGATCTTCTTCATCTGCGCGTGCTTTTTGTATCACAAGTTTCAACAGTGGAAGAATTCATGTGAGTGCACGCCACACGGCGTATACTTGATAAGCCATTAAGAAAACATTGTGTATACGAGGTGTGGGACACATAAAGAGACTTTACAGCCAGCTTGGCTTGTGATATGTGGTAATACTTTGCAGTAAATTCATTTCAAGATTCATTAATAACAAATAAATTATCTGTGGACTTTAATTATAATTAACGAGCAATAAGACTCAGACACATTCAGCCTATGAATACTTCCACTCAATAATGTGATTCAGGCAAATAAACAGTGTGGTAAGACAAAAGAGCTTACGCATCGATTTGGATAAGAGATTAAAATCAGAAAGTAAATCTAAAAACATATGGGCTCTTGCTATGCCTTTAACGCCCATGATATTGATTTTTGTGGTCTGACTGTCTCTCTCTCTCTCTCTCTCTCTGAGGGAATGACGGCCACTTAGAGGCAGACAAATTTTAGCACCAAGTATTTGCCGAGCATGCTGACTCCGAGAACTCTCTTGAAATAATTCCGTAGAATATGGAAATAAACAAATAACTTATTTATCTTGCCAATTGGAAAATAACTGTGGGCCTCAAAGCATAGGCCGAAGCAGAAACATAAGTTCTGTTCTGTTCTGTTCCGTTGTTGGGCTGGCGGGCGAATGCTGCTATCATAATTTGTGTCTGGCTTTGTTCAATTATAAATTATAAGGCAATTAGCTAATAAATTCTAAACTGCAAATGATTAGGCTCTTACGCACACAGACACGCACACAGACAGAGAAATGCATTTAGATCTTATCTCTGTGCGGCGTTGGCTCTGCCTTTTGCTTGACAGCCGAAAACAAACATAACATTTTCAGTTAATTAAAGCTGCAGTCAAGTGGCCCATCGGCTGGGCCAAGACCTGGGCCAGCTACGTACTATGCAATCAAGTGCTCTGTTTGCTCAGTTCGAGGCTCGATTACACTGCAAATGTGTGTTAATGAATTCAAATTGTTTTCTACTGCTGCTGCTGCTGCTGCATAGTGAACAAAAGAATCGTCATCTCGATTGCTTGTTAATGGCCAAATACCAAGTCACTGGGCCACTTTCGTTTTGATTAGCCCAGCAATTCAGCAGAGGTGCATCGATTGACACTGGCGAGGCGGCCATCAAATGCAGGCAGCAGCCGAAGGCAGCTCAAGTGCCTCACAAGGGGAAGGGGCTGCAGGCGAGTCAAGTGGCTTGTGGTGAACGAACGATATCCATTTCAATGGGCCAGATAACGAACTGGGCAATAAGATAGTAATCAAGTCCCATGCCACTGCTCTATTCATATTTGTTTGCCAACAAAAGACTTTCAGCTAGAACAATGCGTTCTACAAATAGACAGAGCTTTGCTGCTCTCGTTTCCTCGACTCGCCTCTCTGCTTAAGATTCTGGAAACCATCTGGAACTCAGACTCACGCCATTGTTATGCAAATATTTAAAAAATGATTTCGCCAATTAATGCAGGTCCAGAATGCTGTAAATAAATATGCAAGAATAAGGAAAAACACAGTCGAATCTCAATTACACTGTAAAGCTATTAAAAAAAAGTAATTTGCGCAGCGAAAGAGTGTGTCAATTTTTTTTATATTTTGAGCACATGTGCACACACTTAACAAACAATGCGACGTCACTCATACGCAACGCTATACGCATTGTCGGCGCGGTTATGGTGCGTATGAGTGACGTTTTTTCAGGCAGTTCACGGCTGTTTAATTTACCTTTAATGAGCTTGTTTATCTTTGTTTGGGCTGTTGTTGCTGCTGCTGTCGCTGCTGATTTTTTTTTTGCCTGTGCAGCTGTCACATTTTTTTTGCGCTGCGTGATTATTATCATAACTTTTTTTGGCAACAACTTTATCGTTGCTTTTTTATAGTTTTTTTTATTATTTTAGAGTTTTTTTTTTTGCTGAAAGCTGTGAAAATATGTATAAAATGTGAAAAAGTTCAGAAATTTTTTTTTTTATATGCATTGAAAACTAATGGCGATTTAAATAAAAATATATATTTCTTTTTTTCATTATATTATAATTAAAAAAAAAATATGTAGAAAATGCGAGATCATTAATTTTTTTATTTAGCTCGCTCTTACGACATATTCATATGAAAAAAATATATATTTTTATTTTTTTTTTTTTCCACAATTTAATTCATATTACCATTCTATGTAGAACATTTTTCCAAGTGTACTCACTGAAGGTGTTTCTTTCGAGCACTCTTTATGATACTTTTGGAGAATTAAAATCCTCAAAAAAGTCGTTAAACTTTTCCATGCGTCGCCCATCCACACACCGCCCGCACTTCAATACAATGTCTGAGTGGCTGGCAAATAAAGCTGCGAAATGTTAATTAAATTAGGCATTGATTAAATTTGCAAGTAATTAATAAAGCGTAAATTGTAATGGCAATGCAGCCGCAGCAGCAGCAACAGTAGCAGCGCATCATCATCATAAGCAACATCATTATGGCGTTGTCAGTTGGGAATTAAATGTGACTTTCACTTGCCCAAACCCCGCTTTAGCCTTAAGCAGCTTTGACGTCAATACATTTCCCACTTGGCTATGAAATGTTTTTCACAGCGTGCAACAAATTTAAGCCGCTTATTCATAAGTAGATAAATGGTATATGTGTGCGTGTATATGTATACAGAATTATATTATACGCACGCTAATATTATTTGTTATTTTCGATTTATTGAATCGCACGCAAATTTCGCAAAAATATGCTAAATGAATAAAAACCCCAGACCCAAAAAGCCAGCGAAAACCAACAGAAAGGCAAAGCGAATTAGCAACAGTAACTAAAATCAAGTTTGTTATTGTATTGCCAATGCTAATACGCGTAACAGGCCAATAACTAAACAGAGAGTAACCCACAAAGCAGCCAAAGCCGTTGGGGTCAGCGGGCGGAGTTTGGCTAACCAAAGTCGACATGATGCTTCAGTTTATAAGCCACAAAACGTGTTGGATTTGTTTCAATGGCGCTAATTGCTTAATTGAAACTGTTTTTGCATTGCATTTACTGTTAGCTTACTTTCCGCCCGCCTCCTCCGGTGCCCCCTCCAGTACCTTCCGCTGCCTTTCCGTTCTTCCGCACTTCGCCGCCGACGCGCCTGTTGTGCCGTTCATAGCAAAATGTCAATTAGTATTTGCCTGCTAAAAGCCAAAAAATCGACAATAGCCCAAATTAGCTGTTCGCCTGACACATACACACACACACACACATACACACTCGCACTCACACACCCTGCCGCGCCACTCCTCAATATTCCAACATGTGTCACGCTGTCGTATACGTAATATACACTTTGATTAGCATTGCGCATACGCCACGCCACGCTCGGCATTCGATATTGGAAATGCATTGCGAAAAATTGTTCCATTTTAATTACAAATTTGTAAATATATGTATGTATGTATGTATRTAGCCGATTCGCAGCACATCATCATCATAATTGGCCGAAGGGCAGCTGCATGCAGTTGCTGCTGCAGCATATTTCAATAATTGAAGCACGCTATATTTTTAATTAGTTAAATGCGCGTTTAATTAGCTTTATAAATTATGCACATGCAGCGGTTAGTTGAAAACCCGGCACAAGTTTTTTTATCTCCTTTTTTGTAATATTATTTACTGGCCTCTGCAGTTGTATCTCTCTTTTTTTCGATGCTCGCTGACTTTGGAGTTTATTTTTGTATAATTTATGAATATTTGCTTAACGGACAGCAATGCTGGAATGATGGTCTTTCAGTTATGATTTATTTATACATTTTTGGCATTTTTTTTTACCACACTCCGCTTGTTTGTCTATTTATTTGTTTGTCTTTTCGCTGTCGACGGAAATGAACTGTGATTTTTATTTATTAATCGGCGCATGATTTATGTATAAATAATTGTAATGCATTTTTTAATACGCGGATGAGCTGTCAGCAACGGTATTAAATTACGTGCGGCACGCCAACTAGAAAGAGCGAAAGCAAGTCAGAGAGAATATACTCAAAGCGGCTAAACTGCAGAGAATAAATTAAATCATTAAATGTGCTCAAATTTAAATGAAATAATTTGATATGCAAATTGCCAAATTTAATATGAACGCAAAAATTCTAAACTTCAGCATTTTACATATTTGACTTCATTATTTATTTAACATCAATCATACGCACCGTTACAATTCAAATATCTAAAATGCGCGCTCAGCATAGTATTGGAAAACGTCAAACAGCCGACAAGCGCTTACACAGCTGCCCAAGCGGTTTAACAAGCGGAGCGAGAGCGCGAGCGAGAGAGAGAGAGAGAGAGAGCGCACAGAAAGCCAAGCAAAGCAAAGCAAAACAAAACAAAACAAAATGCGACGCGCAATTAACACTCACACACGCGCACGCATACGCACACAGAACTAATAACAGACGCTACCAGACAATAACAACAGCAACTACAACAACTAGAAGAAGAGCAGTGAGCAAACATGTTCCACAGTTTAACGGCAGCGCATGTTAACGACCGCGCAAAGAATGCAGCAGGCAGCAGGCAGCGAGCAGCGAGCAACAAGCGGCAACCAGAACATCGTGCAGAGCGGCGCAGAAGAGCGACGCGACTTGGCAAGCGGACAGACTAAAGACAGGAGAGCGCAAAGAAGAACAAAAAAAAAACACACGCACACAAGAGAGGCACAACAAAGAGATTAAGAGAGAGCGGCAGTGAGAGCGAGAGCGCGAGAGAGCACAGAAGAACTGGCTGGTAAATTGTATTGGCGACAAAAGCCAAGCGGCGCTGCTGCCGCCGTCGCTGCGTGTGGCTTTTATGGCTAGTTTTAAAATTAACCACAGCTGCAAAAAGAAGAAAGAACAACAGCAAAAGCGTAAAAATCAAAAGAAGAGACAGACAAAGTCGCAGACTGAAACGAAATTCAATTAAAAGGCAACAGCACATAAAAGTGTGAAAATGCTGACACAGCCAAAAAGGGCTGCGACTCTGGCTGTGGCTGCGGCTGTGGCTGAGGTTGCG